ATCGTGGAGAAACTTATCGCATTATGGGAAGATATAATGAATCACTTGCAGATTTAAATAAATTGTTAAAAATTGATTCAAACAACGCGGAAGCGCTATGTACTCGTGGAATAATTTATTATGAATTAGGAAAATATAAAGAATCACTTGCAGATTTGAATAAATCACTAAAAATTAATCCAAATGATGCATTTGCGTTAAGAAATCGCGGAGAAACTTATAGTGTAATGGGTAAATATGAAGAATCACTTACGGATTTGAATAGATCATTAAAGATTAATCCACATAATGCATTTGCATTAGGATCTCGTGGGGCAACTTATCGTATGATGAAACGATATAAAGCATCACTTGCCGATTTAGATGAATCTTTAAAAATTGATCCAAATAATGCATTTTCTTTATGTTTTCGTGGAGTAACTTATTATGAACTAGGTAGATATAATGAATCTCTTCTAGACTTAAGTATATTATTAATAATTGATCCAAATAATGCATTTGCATTAATAAATCGTGGCGCAACTTATCACATGATGGGAAGGTATAAAGATTCGCTAACAGATTTAACTAAATCATTAGAAATTAACCACATAATGCGTTCGCATGGAGAAGCATACCGAAAGATGAGAAGATACAATGAATCACTTGCAGATTTAAATAAAGTATTGGCACTTGATCAAACCGATGCAGAAGCATTATGTTTTCGTGGAATAGTCTATTGTGGGCTATGTAGATATAGTGAATCACTTTTAAATTTAAGTAGATCATTAGAAATTAATCCGAATAATGCAATCGCATTAAGTAATCGTGGAGAAACTTACCGTAGAATGTGCGAATATGAAAAATCACTTGCGGACTTAAATAAATCATTAAAAATCGACCCAAATAATGCGTTTGCATTAAGAATTCGTGGGGCAACTTATGTTACGATGAACAAATATAAAAAATCACTTGCAGATTTAAATATCTCATTAACTCGAGATCCGGATAATTCAGAAACATTATGTTTTCGTGGAGAAACTTATCGTATAATAGAACTATATGATAACTCACTTGCCGATTTAAACAAATCATTATCAATTAATCCAAATTATGTGCTTGCATTAATAAATCGTGGAGTAACTCTTTACAAAATGGGAAAATATGAAAAATCACTTGCAGATTTGAATAAGTCCTTAAGCATTAATCCAGATGTTGATATTGCATTTAAAAATAATCCAAATTATGTGCTTGCTTTAGCATATCGTGGTGCAACTTTTTACAAAATGGGAAAATATGAAGAATCACTTGCAGATTTGAAGAAGTCCTTAAGAATTAATCCACATAATTATGTTGCATTGAAATATCGTAGTAAACTTCATAGGATATCGGAAAAAAATAAAAGATCTAAATCTAAGTTGAGTTTTATATTCAAAACAAGATTTGCAGGTCCATTATCAAAAGTCATTAGTGAGGCACACGCCGCTGAAATTGCTTCATGGATCGATAATAAAAGTAACATATACTCAATAGCAAATAATCCATATGAATTTAATTTACTTCTTCGTGGAAGCAGAGATGGTTTCACTGTTGAATCGTTTTGGAATCTATGTAATAAGAAAGCAAACATTGTAGTAGTAATAAAAGTTAAAGGCACTGATGAAATTCTTGGTGGATATAATTCTATTGGATGGGTATATTGTGATACTCTTTGTATGAAGAGCTGCAACGAATGCTTTATTTTTTCGTTAAAAAATGGTTCTATTAAAAGGTCTATTCTAGGTCGTATGAAAGATCCAAAAGATGTATTGTGCCTATACAGAAAGTTATATCAAATATGACAAAATTAGAGATGTATCTGCATATGACAATATTGGACTTTCTGACTTTACGGTGGATGAATATGAAATATTTCAAATTCACCAAAAAGCTTCATGAGTATCTACTGTTGAATAGTTTAAATCTACTTTAAATTTTACTTTTTGCAATTCATTTTTTCTTTTATTATAGTAAATTTAATTCAAGGTAGAACTGTAAAAACGCAGTGAGTAATCATTAAATTTACGCTTCAGAATCACGATAAAATTATACTTGTATCAGAATAATAGACAAATTTAGAGCGTATGATAGTAAAATTGAATAAGAAATTGTTAAATACAATAGTTTACTATAATTTTGAATAAAAGATGTTTTTTCAAAACATCTGCTTTCAGTTTATTGGCTAATTGACAATAGATTATTTTTGTTCTGAAATTTGAATAAGCTCAATTCTGAATGCTTTTTTTTTTTTTTGCAAAATAAAAAAAAACTTTTTCTACAGTATTATAATTAGCATAAAGATATTAGTCGCTTGTTCGACCCTATTCACTAATTATATGAGCGCTTGAGTCGATTAAAATCCCTAGATTGAGGATTATATAAAATTTCAACTTGACAAAAATAATGTTTATATAATTTCTCCAGAATCACTTCTCTGACATTTATTCATACCAACGCGAATTCTAAATCAGGCCAACCTTAATTCTGTAATTGTCGGAAAGAAGTAACGGTAAATACTATTGATATAAGTCATCTGTTCTAGTAAGATCACTTGGTCTAAAATCTATTTAAAATTTATAATAAAATGATATAAAATTCTTTGAAAAACTTTCAAATAACTATCTTGACAATAATGAATATTAACGTAATGATTAAATTGGTAAATCTTCTATGCTAAGACATCCTAAGCGCATTCAGCTCAGTAATTAAAACTATGCTAGCTATATTAATCAATTTATCATGATAAATTTTATTAGCGAAACCAGAAGTGTAAATTGAATATTACTTTTATATTGTTTAATTATAAAAAAAACGCGCATTTCTAAAAGATTCAGACTAAAATTGTACTTCTTTCGAGTTTCTTTTGAATGAAGAATATTCATTAGCCCTGTAAGAAAAGTGGTCCGAGTTGTGTTACGGGTTGGTTTCGGGAATGCACGAAATGGCACGGATCGTTGGGGTGGCAGATCACCTAATAAAATCAAATATATGTCTAGTCTCATTTGTATAATAATAGATTTTTTGATCAAAAATTATCATCATAATTTTTATAATAAAAAACAGTAAATTTATTTTTTGTTATTTCTCGCTTAATAATAATTTTTCTTTTCTAATTTTAAATTTTCCAATCTTTATTGCATTCTTAACAACTTTATGTTTTCAAAATTTACATATCATATTAAAAATTTCAATTAACAAATATATTGTATATAAAACTTGAATGCAACAAAGGTCGAAATATTTTAAAATTAGAAGAGAAAAATTATTATTAAGCGAGAAATAATAAAAAATATTTTTACTATTCTTTTATTATAAAAATTACGGTAATAATTTTTTGATCAAAAAATCTGAGACTAGACATATGTTTGATTCTATTAGGTGATCTGCCACCCCAACGGATCGTAAAAAGTGTGACTAATAACTTAAAAACTAAAAACTAATCCAATCACTAATATAAATTCTCCAATAAAATATATTTAGCGACCTCAAGACTCTAAACCTTGAGAGGTAGGCTTCGAAAGATAGGCGTGGAGAGACTTGGTCCGAGGTTCAAGGTTCTTCGGGTCTTGCTGCGGCGTATTTGGCAATTAAGTTAAGTATACTTTAGAATTATACTCTTAGTATTGATTAATATACTTGGGCCGGAGGATAATTATGGTCCTTTTCTTTAAGCTAAAGTTTGGTGGGTTCCAGGCTTCGATACAATCGTTAAGATTATTAACGATTGTCACGTGTGTCACGTGTGATGTCACTTGGATTACTGCTGCGGCGATCGGTAGCTTAATGTATTCGGAAATTCTCACGTCACGGGTAAGAAGATCGGAGGTTAATTTACTATTACACTAATCTAATTAGACGTAACAGGGTATTGTTAAATATACGTATAAGGGGTTTTAACTATTAATCGATTCTCTCTTTATTTTCTCTAAGGGTTCAAGAAAACTCAGAGACAAGGTTTTTATAAAACAGGGAACTCAGGGTCGGCACTTCTACTCGAATTTCGAAGGTCAAGTCTCAATTGGAATTATAACGAATCACAAGTTTATCAATAATTCTGGGACAGAAAAATAGAGTTTTGGAAACGATTTTATTTGGAACAAAGGGAAAAGATAAGTATAAACTACCGGAGTACTTCTACCAATTATGTTTTCGAAGTTTTACTCAACTGAGTTCTGTATTTATTTCAGGAGAAAGGAGCTTCGCTTTTATACTTTTTTACATGCTAAATAATCACAGGTTTTTATGATGTTACTTCTACGCTAAAAGGACTAAAGGTCATTTGGGTCATAAATGCCTTTAAGGGCATTTATGACCTTAATGCCCGAAATGGAATAAATGTACTTAGTGACATTACTGTCATATATGGCACTACGGCCAAAAATGGTACAAATTACTTCGAGGACTATAATTTGTGATTGCTATTTCTTTCTCGGTTGAGTTTTACCGCTATATACATGGCTAATTTCCAATAAATATAATAGTATACGATAAAATAATAAAAAAAAAAAGAAAATTGGGGTACCGGAACCCTCACAACGCACAGGCGCGTTTATGGAATGGCACGGACATTAGGCAAGGGTGGCACATTATGACACGTATGTGTACATTGCACACATGTTGTTTCTGCGAGATTTCTCATTTCATATTACCCGTATAATTTACTTTAAGTCCACTTGCATCTATGTCAATAAATGGTGATTTATCTTTAATATCCCATGCAGTCGGTAAAACAATATTATTGTACGAAGTTATTAATTCTAAATCTCCCATTAGGTTAAATTCAACTCAGATCTTTCGTTTAAATGTCATTGAACATATAAAAGCAATTTATAGATTTTGTACATGAATACAAGCATATATTATCGAACATAGTGCACTATTTATGTATGCTTATTTGTGTGAGAGCAGTATTTGTGTGTGCAGCATCCGTCATTTCTAGATGACCGAAGTTTTGTCAATATGTACGTTGTGGGATTGATACCATGCTCGGTAATATCGAGTTCTGGATCTCAATTAACAAAATCTGTCTGTGAACATTGCACTAAAACCTTACACCACAAGAAGACTTTCGTATTATTGACTGATGTAAATCAATTGGCTGGGTAACTTATTTATACAAATTAAAGTACTTTTGGACTAACAAAAAATAACCATAAGAACCATTTCTAACTTCTAAGGAACGTCTATGTTTACAGTACAAAAATAATCAAAATAATCAGTAACTTCAAGAACTTCACTTAGAAGCGAAGATTTCGTTATTTATTACATTATTACTATAAATAAGTACTGAATGCAAAAAAATAGTCGAATAGAAACAGTAAAAGAATGATCAAAATGTTTAAGGTAAATTTAGATTTTAGAAAATTTTTTAAAGTTGTTAACTTATCGTATTTAAGTTTAAAATTCTTAATACTTTTATTAATTTAATATTGTGCAGAATTTCAATTTATTACTGCTATATTCGCGTAAATCTAGCGAATAAATAGAAAAAAAACATTAATGATAATATGGGGCCTTTGCCTTAAAAATGACCTTACGGGACTATGTAGATTTTATGAATAAAAATTAAAGTTTCTAGCTATTTAATGAGCTCTATAATATATATATATATATATAATCATTTGTATTGGATTATTAGATGGTTAGAAATTTTAATTTTTATTCATAAAATCTACATAGTTCCATAAGGCCATTTTCAAGGCAAGGACCCCATATGTTATTAAGGAATGTATTTACTTTATATAATTATTTAGTCGGAGCAAAAGAATCTATCGTTCTTTATTAGTTTAGTCGTTGTATTTATACTTTTCAAATTCTAGTGGTTCGAGACCAAAATCTTGGGTCTCAAACCAATATCGGTGGTTCTGGACCGGCCTCAGACCAATATTGGTGGTCCTAGAAGATCTATGATCCATGCACAGCCATTCCATACAATAGCACTAACATGTATAGTAATACAATACAAAAACATTACAAAGAAAATTTGGACACAAAATTATCGTACCAGCGGCAGCTAGAGTTAATATCAAAATGTATGTTTGCTTCGGTAGCCGCATAAACACGTGACAGGTGGGTGAAGTCACGCAAACTAGCAGGTGTCCATCAGAAACACTGAATTTCGATTATATTTTTTAAAAAATAAACCATCTTCAAAAACTAGGGTGTGGTCCAGTTTTAAGATTTAAATCGGTTTTATTTGGCTTTGTCATTTTTTTGGAACCGGTTTCAAATTATTGGATTCTTTTGGCTATCCCAATCAAGCCCAAATCATTTGCTTCAGACTTCTAGAAGCTATTCGGTATAGTTTTAAAAAATTTTGGTGGTTTGTACCAAAAATTTGATTAACTTGGCTGAAATTTCAAAAACTCGATCAAATTTGGCTAAAATTTCAAAAAATTTCGATGACTAAAAACAAATTTTTTTTATTTATTTCAAAAAAATTACTTTCGAAAAGTTCCCATGTTCCTGGTGTCCGTAGACTTTTTACGCCACATCACAAGATTTTCCAATACTCATAATGCTAAAAGAAAATTCATTTTTAGCATTATCTGTTATATAATAATATTTTGTAAGATAAAAGACAGTTTTATATTCGGAAAGATATGATTTACAATACATAGTTTCACATGATATGAATTAAACACCGTTGACAAAAATTTTAGACCAGCTATTCTTATTTTCGATATTGAATTAAGGTCTGATGATTGAAGTGATACTAAAATTTTTCAAGAAAAACTTTTACTTTATTTAGTACGCAGAAGGCTATTTTATAAAGAAGTTTTACGTTATTCCAGATATGTGGAAGTAACGTAATGATCTACATACTACACAAGTTATATTTTTGATTATTTAAAATACTAATTCTATATCAATTATCAAAAAGGTAACATTGTGTTTAACCACTTTTATTACCTAAATTAGGCAATACGCAATTAATTCTAGTTGATCCACAATATGCAACACAAAGTTAATCGATTAAAATTTTAATATTGTTTTAGCGATAACATATTGTTTGATGTAACAATTGTCAACTGTAATTGTAAAAAAAAAATGCATTGTTTCTTGAACGCATTGAAAAATCGTGTTTGTTTTACTACTTTTCGTTTATTTATTTCCTCAATTTTTTTTTTCTGTTAGCTCTTTTCTTTAAAAAATTGGTGTGCTTAATTTTTCATTTTATGCGTGGTTCATATCATATATAGACATTTCTTGTCGCGCTGCGATCTCTAATATCTCTTGTTCTCTTAAACACTACCAAATATTTTACCTTGATGGTTAAAATACTTGTTATATTAAATTCTCTTTCATCCCCAAAAAGTATATATAATATTTTCTTATAAAGTAATATAATAAATATGGAAGAAAAGTATCCTTATAGGTACAAAAGTCATATAGAACATTTAACAAGAGATTCAACTTTCTCTAGCGTAAGTTCAACTGACGCAACATTAGTCGACGAAGCTACTTCTTCTCATGGAAAAAATACCATATCATCTATATCATCAGACACATCCTCCAATTTTCAACATCGTCAACATGTTAATTTCGCTAGTTTCGAAAAAGTAGTTGATGAGAAAAATAATTTATATCAGGATAGTCCGATAATATGCATAAATGACACACCGACTTCGAATTATGATGAACCACAAATAAGTATGGATCCAAAGAAATCGATTTACACACCGGTCCAAAAACCTCTACCGGCCACCACCAAACCCTCTTTTTTTCACATTTTTCAATTCGCATCAATATTCGATTTCTTTCTTATGGCTTTAGCTATCTTTTTCAGTCTGCTGCGCGGGTTAATAGTTCCATTAATGACTATTTTATTGGGAAATATCTTTAATTCATTCACCGAACAACAACTCGGAACAATAACAAATCAAATCTTTATTCAGCAAATTAATGTTTCAGTATTGGAATTCACTTCACTTGGAGTTTGTGCTTTCATTTTTACTGCTTTAATGACAGCTTTGTGGAGTTGGACTGCTGAACGACAAGGAAGGCGTATGAAGGATGTTTATTTTAGATCTTTATTAAAAATGCCAATCGATTATTTTGAAGATCCTGAGATTACTTCTGGAGGTCTCTTAACTAGTGTTAACAAGTAAGTTATGAATATTTATAATCAAAATTTTTTATTATTTTTACTAATTCATTATTATTATTATTATTATTTACAGAGATACTGAAAATATTCAAAATGCTATATCTGATGACATTGGTCAAGTTATAGAATACTCAGTGACAGCTATGAGCTGCCTTGTCTTGGCATTTACTAAAAATGCTATTCTATCTCTTGTAATATTAGCTTCGATGCCTTTAGTTTTTATCACGTTGGCATATACTACAGCCAAAGCGAATCCATTATTATCTAAAGAACGTGATATATTTATGAAAGCTGGTAATGTACTCGAAAATAGTTTATCAGCCATCAAAACTATTAAATCATTTAATGGTGAAGCAAAAGAAGAAAAGAAACATTTTGATAATCTACAAGAAGTAAATAATGTTTCGGCTAATCTTGCTTGGATTTACGCCATAAGAGTAGGAATGATACAGTTTCTTATACTTTCGTTATTTGTTCAAGGATTTTGGTTCGGTTCAATATTAGTATCAGAGAATAAACTTGCCCCGGGTGATGTTTTAAGCATTTTTTACGCCAGCTTGCTCGGTGCTAGTGTGCTTAAAGAAGTATTACCCAAATTGGCGTCGATAGCGAAAGCGAAAGATGCGGTTAAACATATAAACATTTTATTAGAAAAGGTGACTATTATAGATTTGAGAGCATTAAGAGGTTTTACATTAACAGAGATAAAAGGAGATATAGAATTTAATGACATTAGCTTTTCATATCCTACTCGTCCTGATACATATGTATTGAAAAATATAAATTTAACCATTCCGGCTGGAAAAACAACTGTATTAGTTGGGCAAAGTGGTTCTGGAAAATCTACAATAACTCAATTAATTCAACGATTATATGAACCAAGTGAAGGTATAATAACTTTAGATGAACGTGAACTTCGGATCTTAAATATTACATGGCTTAGGCAACAGATTGGTGTAGTAAATCAAGAACCAGTACTTTTTGATGATACCATATATCAAAACGTAGCTTATGGCAGACCAGATTATTGGAACGTAACCATAGATGAAGTTATTGCTGCTTGTAAAACTGCATGTATACATGAATTTATCGAAGAACTTCCTGAAGGGTATCAAACACGTTTGGGTGATAAGGCAAGGAAGCTTTCTGGTGGCCAACGTCAGAGATTGGCTATCGCTCGTGCTTTAATTAAAAATCCTGCAATTCTTATACTTGGTAAGTAGATATTTAAGTATTAAATTATTTCATATTTTAAATCAATTAATCATTAATCAAGAATTTGTTATATGTATCTATAAAAAGATGAGGCATCAAGTGCGCTTGATGTGACTTCTGATTCAATGGTACAAAAAGCACTTCAAAACAGCCGTGTAGGTCGAACCACTATTGTAGTTACTCATCAACTAGCCAATATAGCAGAAACAGATTTCGTTTATGTGTTACATGAAGGTGAAGTGGTCGAACATGGTACTCCAGCTGAGCTTCTCAAAAATTCTAAAGGACACTATTCAAAACTAGTCGAAGAATCGTTGGCAACACCTAATCCTAAAAGACAGACTCCTCAATTAGATCTAATTAACATGAAGCTAAAACGATCTGATACATTACCAATTTATAAAAATAAAGAACAACATTTGAACTATCTTACCGCTGAGAATATACCAACAGGATCACTTTTAAACCGTTCAGTAAGCATGCGAACTTCACAAAGAGCAGGATGGCGACAATCTCTTTATGAAGAAAGTCTTGATACCAATGTAATGGATGTTCTTAATGATACAGCTTTAGCGGCAATTTCAAAACGTAATGAAAACCGAATTTCATATTTTGGTATTCTAAGTTATTATGAACAAATTGATGATGAAGGTATAATAGAAATTTTGACTAGCTCTAATAGCACTAATGATTCAACGAATGAAAAATCACGCATAAGTTTTAAAAAAATGATTATAGACACAATGCAAAATAGAATTCTATATTCTCTTGGTCTATTCGCTTCACTCATCAATGGATTTGTTATGCCAATATTTTCATTCGTTCTTGCCAGTTTGCTTAACACTTTTGCAATTCCAGACAAATCATTACTTCAACAAGAAGCCAAAATGTATGCGTTAATCGTATTAGGAATAGCAATTATGAATGGAATTACTGCACATGCTAAATATTATTTACTTGAAAGAGCTTCGGAACAATGGGCAATTCGATTACGTCATTTAGGATTTGGAAAAGTATTACGGCAGCCTCAATCTTGGTTCGATGCACCAGATCATGCAGTTGGAAAAATCGTGACAATACTTGTTAATGATACTGATACAACTAAAAATTTAATAGGACGCTTTATAGGAAATATGACATATGGACTTGTCTCATTACTTGGAGGGATGATTTGGGCCTTTGTTATTGGATGGCAATTAACTTTAGTAGGATTCGGACTGGTTCCGGTATTACTTATTGCATCTGAATTACAAGCTTATGTTTTACAAAAATATGAAAAGAAACAAAAGGCCGCAAATGAAGAAGCAGCAAACTTGTTTTATCAAATGGTTTCTAGCATTAGAACAGTATTTTCACTTGCTATTGAAAGAGCAATGCAAGAGAAATTCCAAATAGCACTTAAAGTTCCATTTAAAATTGGAGTTCGTAAAGCGTTCGTTTGTGGATTTACAGCTGGACTTTTGGAATCATTTAGTTATTTTTCAAAAGCATTAACATTTTGGTATGGTGCACAACTAGTATCTCAAGGGATTTATAATCTAGAAATGATGCTGCAAGTTTGGACATTAGTTATATTTTGCACTACTGCGGCTTCACAAATGTTAGCTACTATTCCATATTTCGCTAAGAGTAAACAAGCTGGAAAGTCAGTGGCAAGGATACTTAGTTTATCTGAGGAGGATACAACGTCTGGTAAAAAACTTGATGATATGCAAGGAAAAATTGAATTCAGAAACATTCATTTTTCATATCCTGGACGACCAGACGCAAAGATATTGGATGGATTAGATTTAGAATTAAACCCGGGAGAATCTGTAGCATTAGTTGGAAGAAGCGGAAATGGAAAATCCACAGTAGCCGCATTACTTCAAAGATTTTATGATCCAAATGAAGGATCAATATTATTAGATAGAGAACCACTGAAAACTCTTCAGCTTCATTGGCTTAGAGAACAGATAGGAATAGTTAGCCAAGAACCAATACTTTTTGATATGACAGTGCGGGAAAATATAACATATGGTAAAGAAGATGCTACGATTGAAGAAATTGAAAATGCAGCAAAACAAGTGAATATGCATGAATTCATAAAAACATTACCAAATGGATATGAAACGAAATTAGGAAGTAGTGGAACTCAATTGTCAGGTGGACAAAAACAAAGACTTTCAATAGCTAGAGTACTGTTAAAAAATCCAAGGATCTTAATCTTGGATGAAGCTACAAGTGCATTAGATGCTTCAAATGAACAAGTTATATTGGAAACTTTAAGTCAAGTACAAAAAAATCGAACAACATTAGTTATAACGCATAGGTTAAATAATGTTAAAAATATGGATAAAATAGGTCTTGTTGAGTCTGGTCAAATAACTGAAATTGGAACTCACCGAGAATTGATGTCACTAAAGAAAGGATATTTTAATTTAGTCATTAGTGGAAATAGTTAAAGAAATACCATAAAATTTCTAATAATCAATGAGGTAGCAAAACACAAAAACATTCATGAAATTTTTTTGTATAATGTAATTTTTACTTTTTTTTTTTTTATGGGAGAGACAATAATAACACATGCTGTAGGAACTTGGATTTATTTCATTGTATTTATAGTCATTTTGCTTTCATTATTTAATTCTAAAAACATTGCAAAAATGCTTTTATTCATTATACAAGTAATTAAAATTTCTTTTAATTATATAAAGTTATCGTAATAATTGTAGCATCAAAATTTTGTCTAAAAAAGTACATTATAAAAAGTTTAAAGAATCTCGAGATTTGCGATAAATAGGAAATGGAAAGCTGACCAGGTAAGTTTGAGTAATCTAAACCAATAATGATTAAGCATAACCTTCATGTGGCGGTTTCTGCTGAGATTTGTGGTCTCTATTTAAATTTATAATTCCCACCTATACACTTTTATTAATAACCCTAATCTAACTATGAAAACAAAAAAAGCCCTCTAAAATTTTAATTTTATTAAATTCTCAGCATAAGCTACCACAATAATTTCTTGTTATCTGGCATGATTTGAAGGATACATGGGTATCGGCTAGAGTTGTTGTGAAACTAAATTGAGCTGGTGAAACTAAAATCTGATTGACTTAATACAATAGCCAACCAGATTTTAGATAGTCACCAGTTTCACCAACCGGCAGGATAATAGCAAAAGCACGTGGCCGAAGGCCTCGTGCGTTGCAATTATACTGTCAATGTTCATGATCCCGTATACCATGCCAGATAACTGGCAGGTATGACGTATACACTTACGGAAAGAATTTTATATTACTTCTGCAGAGCAGAGTTTTATATTAAATTTTAAAGACCATGATCGTAGCAATATTTCTTAGATTTTCATTATTTTAAAACTTTAAATGAAGTTTACTTAATAACTACCAAGTCAAACTTGATAATTTTTTTTTTTTCAAAGCTTGTATAATTAAAATGAAAGTATAAACACGTGGTTGTTGAGAAACCACTGCTAGAAGATAAAAAAAATCAAATTTTAAAAAGGATCGTCACCAGTGTTATAAATTCAAAAAATTTTCATTGGCGCAAACTTTAGAATCATGTTTAAAAATATGCGCAAAAAGTTTTTTATATATTTAAAGTAAAATTATAATACGCGCAGAACGCTAATAATTTTCAACAAACTATAAGTTTATGATTAACCCTAGGTGCCGCACAAAAAATGCGCGGCAGATCCTCGATTTTGATTGGCCAACGGCCGAGGATCTTCAAAA